CGTAACAGACTAAATTTTGAACTAAAGAAGGCTGGACAAAAATTTCATCACAGCTTGAAGGAGCATCACAAAATTAGTAATATTCCAAAGTTTCGTTTCAAAGTGTTGTAAAATGCGGAAAATATAGCCTTGCGAAATTTGCAATTTTCAGTCATTTTAGATTACAAACGGAAATTGACAGCCCCAAACCCTTCGAGGCTGTCAATTTCCGGTTTGTAATCTAAAATGACTGAAAAGTGCAAATTTTGCAAGGCTATATTTTCCGCATTTTACAACATTTTGCAACGAAACTTTGGAATATTACTAATTTTGTGATGCTCTTTCAAGCTGTAATGAAATTTTTGTTGAGATCAGAATTTAGTCTATTACGCAAATGGTCAATTGAATTACAACCAAAATTCAAATTTATAAAAAAATTGGCAGGAAATTTTTGGTCTGGGAAGCCTGCTGCCAGGAAGAAAAATATTTTATCAAGGCTTGATGAAACTGTCAACCAACACTATATATATAGTGCCTTGCTGCCGTAACTTCCACTAGTGATTACGCGCTTGGTCAACGGTCGCACGCTGAACACTTTCCCAAGGTCGATGACATCCCCCTCCCCCGTACCAGAACTGGCTGGATTCACCCCTAATGGTGGTTAGTGCTTGCATACTTGTGGGATTACAGGATCAGACTTAGACCAGCTGGGTGCTGTAAGACCTTCGTCTGAAAGTTAGCGAATGTGACTTTTTCTCCAAAAAGTAAGTTTCTACTGTCCGTATAATTATTATTTTTCTCTAATTTCAGGCGCCGGCGAAAAAGAGCGTAGCGGAAAGGAATCTTTGTCAAACTTTGCTGAATTTACGTCAAAATACCAAAGAAAGTGGCTTGGAGAAATGGATGGACCAACTAACGGTTTTTACTAAAAAAGTGCATGAAGTGAACTGAATGGTAAAATAAGCTTTTGAAATGGAGTAATATATAGGATTTCGATGTTAATTGAAATGGAATAATGTTTTTTCCTGAACGTCCTCACCTCAGGATGTACATGCGCAGGGTATTTGACCTTGAACTTGTAAAATATAACAGTTTAGATAATATAACACTTAATGTGTATTATTATATTTGAAGATTGTAGTATATATGTATATACAGTTCATATTATTGAATAGGGCTTTATTTTCATTTATATTTTTTGTTATAGATATGTTTTTGAATTAGTCCCTCGAATTACCTTGTTGTGGTGTAGAATTTGTTTGCAAACTTGTATAGAGGACGAGGTCGGATTCCCCCAAGACAGAATTAATGAAGGCGTCTGACAAATTGTATTTTGAATTCTTTAAGTCGGGAGCACTTGTAGCCTCCTGCGCAGACGTTGTTAGTGGCCCGAGGCCTCACCTAACGTCTGCTCACATTCGCTATACATTTGACTTCCCGGCAATTAACCAATCACAATCATCTACACGATAATTGGAAGATCGGCCTTCAATGACCTTCACAC